GAACATCAGCGTACGGTCAGGGTCGCCACAATATTAAAGGTTATGAAAACAACTGCACAGATGTTTCCACTTGTAAGTTAAAGGAAGTGGAGACCCCTCTACAAAGCTGCTTCATTTGCGATTTAACTGTAATTTGCCGTGTATTTAATGGGTACGTCATAGCCCTGCTGGTCAGGTTCAACCTGTTCTACCTATCAGTGTTTTATGTTGTATTCATTTTTTAACAACTGACTTGCCATCTGGACAAAGATTAATTGACCTTCCCAGAGCTCTCTTGTCTTTTATACAGTATGTCAGTGTTGTTTGTCAAATCTACTTTGCAACTGGCATGACTGAGTTTTTGTAATAGTGGTCAAGTTTCTTTATGTTTAAAAATATCTTTTCTACACTGTGGCGTTTTTACTTTTTTATTAATGGTTTGAGTCACTTTAAATGCAACTTAGCCCTAATGTGGACCAAACTTCAGTTTGTTATTTAAAGTTTGTACATGACACCCAGTGTCTTGCTGCAAAATCTGCATCTTAAGCAGACTGGGTTCAAAGCTAAAGTCAAACCATGAACTATAATAAAAACATTTCCCCCTGAAGGTGTCCTCTGGTGTCTGACACCATGACATTAGCAGCAGATCCCATATGTCCTGTAAGTTGTGAGGTGAGACCTTCATGCATCAGGCTTGTTTTTCCACACACCCCCAGCCATCCAAGTGGTGTAAAAGTATACACAATAAATCAGACCAGTCCACCATTGTTCGTTGCTAAATGGTCTAGTTCTGATGCTCACATTCCCATTGTAGGTGCTTTCAGTGGTGGACAGTGGTCAGCGTGGGCATGCTGTGGCTACACAGCAAGGTGCGATGCACAGTGTGTTCTGACACCTGTTTTGATCTCCTTGTGCATGGATGAGCTTTTGGTGTCTGTAACCCTATCACCGGTTTACCATGTGTCCTTTCGTGGACCACTTTTGCTAGATGCTGATCACTGCAGACTGGGAACACCCAACAAGACCTGCAGTTTGGGAGATGCCCATGTCAGAGTCGCTTAGATCCTTACACTTGCCCATTTTTCCAGCTTCCAACATATTGACTTTGAGAACTGACTGTTTACTTGCTACCTAATATATACTGCCCCTTGGCAGGTGCCACAGCAATGAGATGACCAATGTTTTTTTCTTCACCTGCCAGTAGTTTTAATTTTGTGACTGATCAGTATATACTATTTTATTTTTATTGACAGGTGGGCCTTGGCGACCGGCATAGCAGCCAAACCCCCCAGTTTCATCATGATGGCACACCCTCTCCCAGTGACAGAGAGGTGAGCATGGTGTCACCTTGTGATAGATATATCTTCAATATCTATGAGCTGAAACTGCAGCCTGCAGTGTCATGCCCTTTTCCCAGCTTACAGTATATCCTAATTTTCAGAGCAATGTGTCTGTCAGTCCCCAAAAGTTTGTTCCATGTTTTGTTTCGGCTAATGTTTTCTCAGTAACAAACCAGTGCCTTTTTGAATGCTTTGCCAAAAGAAAGTAAATCAGTGACCAAGTAGTGCTTTCAGCTGTAGGCTGTTAATAATTTTCACTACTGCTGCCTCTTCTCTCTGTCCCCTGCTGATCACAATTTGTTAATATAATAACGATTATTCATGAATATTATTGAAGATCCAGTACTTCAAGCAACAGATTTCTCACCACAGGGTCCTTAAAATGTCACATGGGCTGGAATAACAGTGCGATAATTGATGTTGTATAGCGGTCTTCACTGTGTTCTTATTATATACATGTATGGTCTGTTAACACTTCTCTTCATTTAACTACCTGTATTCTCACGTCAGACAATGAAGTTCAAGGCATTTTGATGTTAGTCAGCAAAAGCATTTGGCCAATTCTTGTAATGTAATGTAATCTTTTGTTAAAGAATATTGAGGGCCAACATAAAGTATCAGTGCAGAGAATCAAACTATATTATTACAGTACTTTGTTTAGTCACACAACTTGTGTTATTTTTCATTATGATAGGTAAACTGCTTAGCCAAGAGATTCTCATTCAGACACACTGGTGAAGAGCAGACCATAGTCAAACATGTATATGAATAACTGATGTGCTCTCTTGCCAGTGTTGCAATATTTTGCCCCAGTGGATATGGGCAAATGTATGCAAGACTTGGATTCATTAGAAAAAGGTAGACCAGCAGTGATGTACTGTGTAAGACTGATGATGCAGCATATCTCTTTTTAGAGTTTAGATATGAATGTTTACAGTCTTTAGATAATAAATGGCTTAATTACTCATTTATGGCAAGGTCTCTACTTTTAAACACTGCAGACCCTGAACTGTAATAGTGACAGTGCCGCTTTTGGTCAGGTGTCTGTGCTCCATCTCCTTTATGCTTTGGAAACACACGTGTAACATGGGCTTCTTATCATCACAACATCTGTTGTCATCTCACAAATCTTTAACAGTTTGACAACTCTGAAAGTACAGGCTAGATTTGATAATTGTAAGCAGGTTTATCACTTCGTTGACATTGTAAGACTACCTGCAGAGATGTCAAACTGTTAAACATAACATGAATGTTGACTCAGTGTTTCACTTTCTCACTTTTCTTATTTTTCTTCCTATTTCATATAGTGTCTCTCCCTCTATCTCTTTCTCCTCCTTTGATTTCTCTCCATCCATTTCAATTTCTCTCAGTCAACCTCTTCTGGACAGTCTGGTTAGACACTTCCTTCAGTGCTGTTTCACACTCATGGTGTTGTTTTGCTCATTGCTCTCTGTGTTCCTCTTCTTTCCCCACCTTTCGTCCTGTTACTGCACTGACGGGGTCAGATGCTGGCCGGGATGATAGCAGAGCCCGCTTTTCTCTCTGAGTATACTATCTTTGCTCTGGACCATTCAATACAACCCAAAACGGCCCAGGTAGCCAGTGTGGTGAGTTTATCCTCACTTCCTGCCTTTTCCTTATCATCTTTCTCCTCCTGCTCCTCCTCCTCGTCCTGCCCTGTTCCTTCCTCCCATCTCTGCGTATCTGGGGAATCGGTAGAGAACTGTGGCCCAAGTAGGGACAGCTTGTTTCCCGCTCTGTCTCTTGTTTCCTTTGGATTTAGCAACAAGAAGGCATCTTATGTTTAGGCTAACCCTGCATCTAATGGGGTTTTACACTGTTAGCAGAAACCACACAAGCTTCTGTCCATGATTATTGCCCTACCTTTCATTTAGTATGATCAGATCACAGAACTGAATATTGCCCCCTTGTCCTTAGGTATCTTGCTTGCCTTAGAGATCCTCAGCACCCTGTTATGTTGCCTGATGGCCTTTGACCCTTTCCCCTCACAAGTCTGTTTATTTGGAGAGTTTACTTCACAAGTTATGGGCAGGTTTTTTTTTTTACTTTTTTTAGATGCAGTTGTGGAGCTCAAAAACTAGATATGTGTTTTATATATCGAGGTGCAAAGACGATTGGTGACACATTTCTGTTACAAACAACACATTCTGAAAGCTGCTACTTGGTGTACAAGTAGCATGTAATGTCAAATGTTTGGTTTAATAAGCTAATTTTGTTTTGCCTACTCCTCCATGTGAAGGAAATTTGCCTAGCTATTTGTAGTTCCTGTAATGTCTAAATCTATTTTAAAATGATAGTTTTATCTAAATGCTTTCTGAAGCCACTGTATTTTATGTTGCAAACAGTTTAACATTGATTGTAAGAAATATTAACTTCTCCTGGGGTCAGTGGTAACCTGTGATTGATCTTCTCAGTGTTTATTAATGCAAGAAAGGACACACTGGTCTTGATATCTTTTATCTTGTAAGACTCTTTCTGGTCTAGAATAAATATAACAGAAAAAGCTGCACCATTCTTAGCAGGATAAGCTAAAACCTTTTTCTCAGTTGGTATAACCTTTGTTCTACTTTTGTCAGTAATAGATTGCAGAAATCAGTGAGTTATTGCTTTCCAGTTTGGAGACTTCGAATATATTACAGCTACATATACAAGTGTCCTTATCATCTCCTGTAATTAACCACAAATTTCTTAAATACATAGCATTTTGCCATCTACATCCTGTCAAATTGTTATCAACATATTCTTATAGTAAACTCATCAAATTATTTTATTACATTTCTAGATCCTTTGACATTTTATTTTGTAGGTACAAATAACCAAATATATTTTGCCAGCTTCATTCATGAAATCTCTGTGTTTCTTTAAGTTATGTGTGTGGTGGTATTTTATCAAGGTACTGGTAGTAGTTACGATTGTGAGTCACAGAATGTCGCTCTTGTGACAATATGGATGGCTAGTGTTCGTGCATGCAGTCCAGAAAACAACGGCACTACAGTCTTGGTCTACTCTTCACCTCCGTGCAGTAGGTCTTCAGGAAAGTAAGCAAGCAAAAGTGACAAACCTAAGTGAGATAACACAGTAAGTCCAGCAAACAAGTGTTTGAGGTAACACAAGTAAAATTTGTTCCCTACTCCCCACAGTGTTCTTGTAAACAAACAAATGGTATGTTGTCGTTCAGTGTTACTCACCAAAACACAGTTTTCTAGTCTAACAAATGTGTTGAATGAATGCATTTCCTTCATTATAAAATATTTTCAAAGCTAATTTTTCTCAAAAGAGTGAGACCTGCTGACATGTATGTTCTACCTCCTGCACATCTATGGGAACAAACAAAATGGAATCCATTCATTAAGTCAGTGGTCCATAGTGCTTCTCATGGTCAAAACCTGATAATTCCTTCACATAAACCTGTAAAAATAAAGTGAGCATCAAGCTCAGTGGCAGTCAAATGAGTTTCTTTAATACTCATTTAGCCCTGTGGTCCCTAACACATTGAATTAATCACCCACTAAAATAAAGTATTTTTACATTTTTCATTTTAAACCCTGTAAAAGTAACTAGATGGGCCAGTGATACATTGTAAACCCAATGTCATTATCTAGCCCCCCCGCCAGAAAAAATCTGTTGCTTAAACCCAGACCCAAGAATGACTGTTGTTCCATTAATTTAAACTTCCACAAGAAGCAGGAAACGTTTTGCCTAGGAATCCAGAGGAAGGAGTAGCATGGAGCTGGATAAGGGAGGAGAACATTTGCTTACTCTGATCCTGCTTCTAACAAGTCAGCTAAACCAACTAAGCCGCTAAATGTCCTCTTACATCAATATTGTCTGTGCTCTTGTAATACAGCTGCATATGGCACTGCCAAGCATCTTTAACTCAAATACTGGCTCTGCAACTTGACTTTGTCTGTTTGTTCTGACTTTGTGATTGTTCTGTAGAGTCTAGTTTTAACCCTTTTTTGTTCATTGTACAGTAGAGATGCCTTCTGTTATGTATATAACCCCTCTGTTTTTTCCTATCTGCATGAGGGTACCCACTGCCCCTGCATTGCTCCCAGCAATACTAATATTGCTCCTTTCAGAGTAATCAGGGAGAGCCACACTGGGTGTGGATGACTAACTGGCCCAGGACAAGTTCATTAGCACTGTATTCCTTTCTCTGATAATGTCTTGTTTTAATGCAGAGTGCCTCTAAAGGAGCTGCGAGGTCTCCTAGAGGTAGCATCAGTGGCAATGGAAGTGCATCTCCTCAGGCAAGTGTATCTTTTCCTGCCTAATTCTAAAACATAAAGTTAATGTTATAATGCTGCTGTTCATTCTTTGATTAGATAAAAATTTTCATGTAATGTCTCAAACATCCTAACAGAGAGAGGAGCTGCAGTCATTTGCCCAGAAGCTGCAGTTAAAGGTTCCGACTCCCTGACACATTTGGGAGAAAACGAGTCCCCTGGTGCCCCCACATATGATCCCCCCTCAGACATTGAGAGTGAGGCTGAGGAGCCACCAGGAAGTGCAGAGTCTCTTTCTAAAGAGCAGCTGGTGCACCGACTGCTTAGAGTGGAGAGGAGCCTGGGGAAATACAGAGGGAAATACTCAGAGGTGAGAATGGCTCCTAATGGATTAAAATATTTATTTATATTATGTATATCAATTACCAATACAATAATTTATTATAGTAACTCTTTTTTGCTTTCTGTTTCTACCCCTTCATCTTGCAGCTGGTTACTGCTTATCGAACAGTACAACGGGATAAAGAAAAAACACAGGTAATATCTTTTACCTACCATGTGTTGGCAAATTTTTTTTATATGATCCCCAGTGCTTTTCCCATCAGATGTTTTTTTAAATGTAGTATCCTGAATTGATCAGATATTCATTTCTGTTTACCTTCCTCTTAGGCCATCCTCAGTCAGAGTCAAGATAAAGCTCTCCGTAGGATAGGGGAGCTGCGGGAGGTATGGCTCTCTGTTATGAATGTTGTTTCTCTAGGTCAGTATCTGGCTTTGTTTTTTAATTAAAATTTTACGTATGAGTGAACATAATGAGTTATCTCTAGGAGCTTCAAATGGACCAGCAGGCCAAGAAACACCTACAGGATGAGTTTGATGCAGTTCTAGAGGAGAAAGACCAGATGATAACTGTCCTCCAAACACAGGTGAGTGTGTGTTGGTGCGTTCTGTGAATGATAGCATAGATATTTGCTTGAGGTGGGAAGTGAAGATGGCAGAAGTCCATATACAACATGAGGAAACCCGTGTCTTCTCCTGCATTGTAATTCAGGGTGGTTTGTCTCAGCACGGTCTGTATTTCCCCAAAACAAAGTCAAGAGAAAACATTTAATTAAGGACAGCTGAAGAATCAGCTCATGTGTTGATCTTTGGGTTTATTAGCAATTAATAGTCTGACAAATTTCTTTACTGTATACTTTATACAACAGTTTCTCTGAAGTGATAACTACTTCTGTATAGAAACTATGTTTACTACAAGAGTATACTGATGTGAAGAGTTTTCTCAGTGTAATTTGTTACATAGCTTAAAGTCATAGAACTTGGCTCTTTGTCCTTCATACACCTGCAACATGTGCATCTAACACTAATAATGGAAAAAAATTAAGCTGCACTGTAAATGCAATAAGTTATATGTACAAACCTAAGCACCCAGGGAATAACATTTGGATTTAGAAATCAACTTAAATAGTCAGAGGGGTTTATTTAGTTAACCTTTTTTTTCTGTCAGGTTGCTCTGTTGAAGAAAAGAGTCAAGGGGGTGTCTGGTGCACTGCCACCTGACGGTGATGTCCCTCAGCCTGAAGATGCTCAACACTCTGCTTCTGCCACACAAAGTCCTTCCAAGGAGCAAGAAATAGAGCCTGAGGTCACCGAGGGTAAGCTTACTTTGGCTGTACAGATGTGTTACAAATTTAAGGAAAATCAGTCCAAGTGAACAACACTTTTTAGTAAAGTCTCTCCAGAACAGCTTCAGTGCTCCTCTGTTAGAGGGAGTCAACTTCATTCAACCAAAACATATTTTCTTATTGTGTTCAACACACTTTTTCATGCTTATTAGGCCATTCAGTAACCAAGAGTTGCAAAAATTTGTCAATTATTTAATATACCAATTGATAGAAAATTAACGGGCAGCTATTTTGAAGCATAAAATCACAACCGTTTTCTGGTTATACCTTCTTTAATGTGATGAATTGATGTTCTCTTTGTCATACAAAGTAATAAATTGAATATCTTTAGATTTGTTGGTTGGACAAAACAAGATACTTTGACTAAAAAGTCAAAATGGCCATTTATCCTAATGATTGACACTGAATAAAAAGATAATAAAGATAGTAATTGGCAGATTTTTATTCTCACTCATATATCCAGGATTTTCCTTTAATTTATGACCCATATGTATCTTTAAATATTTATTTATATATTTGCCTGCCCAATTTAGTTAGAAGCAAACTCCAAAGTCAACATGAAGATGCTATACTGTATGTAATATGTCTGACATTTCTGTTTATGGAACTGTAATGTTTTTAACCAGTGCATTTTATTTTCTGGCCAGGAGAGGGCAACAGTGATCCAACCAAACTTGTGGAAGCTCTGCAGAAGAGAGTGAAGAGGCAGGAAAACCTACTGCAGAAGTGCAAAGATGTAATGCGTACACACAAGGAGCGGAGCGCTCAGCTCAGCAGTGAGAATGAAACTCTGCAGGAGCAGCTGCAAGAGAGGCTGCAGGAGCTGGAGAAGATGAAGGTATATAATGTGTTAACAGGAATGATGCTGGAGTGTGGACCAAGGTCTTTTTTCAGTCACCTCAATCTATAAATCTTTATCTGGTAAATGTATGAATGTTCACTTTATCACTAAGGTACTCAGTCAATAAAGTATTCAAAAGTACAAAGTATCCTGTTATTTCCAAATGATAATCTTGCAACAGGGACCTGTTAGTAATTGTTATGGCAGTAAACTGTAATCATAAAGTGATTAAATTAAAATGGAATTAGCTGAGATGCTGCAAATGACTGAACAGTGTGTTCAGGGTAATTCATATGCTGTAAAATGTCTGCCAGAGTTGTTATGGTCCACTGATAGTGCGGCTTTATTATTGTTCACGGTGGATAGTTGTGGTCCTCGGAGTCCAAACATCCTAATTCTCCAGTGAAGCTCCAGAATGAGGGTTTGTGTCATGTCAGTGTGACATTACTGAACCATTTTGCTTCCGTGGTATGATTTACTTGTTTTGCTCTGATGTTTTTTCCTAACAGATGTTTGTTGATACAAAGACATTGTGCTTGTCTGTGACTGTATGTTGATTGACTTGTTTTCTTGTTTTAATGCCATAATGATTGTGTTGAATCTGCACTCTGTTTGGCAGTAGGGCCTTTCCTGTGTCAGGCTTTTAGCCCTCTTAAGTAGATAAAGACATCCTGGAACTACTGGGCTGGGCTGTGCTGTGCTCATCCTCATCCTCTGCCTCTGACAAATATCCCACAAAACAAACAATCTGTCTGATTTCAGGCCTTCCGCTCAGGGATTTTTTTATTTTATTTTTTTCTTACAGTGAGGTTGACAGTATTGTTTAGTGTATTTTTTGTATATTTACAGTAAATTTACTTATTTTCAAATTAGTTTTATGAACCTTTGAACATTATAATACTATTGCAGCTGAGTAGACTCCTTGTGGCACACAGATTGAACAACCGTACCGCAACCCAGCATTTCCTGTTTAGTAACTACTAGTTGAACTGTGGTGGCACAGAGACACAGCTACTACATGCCACTGCTGCTAAACTGGGCTATAATTTGGGTTGACTTGTTGGTTTAGCTGGGCTTGTGTACACCTTCTGGTTATTTGACTTGTGGGTGAGGCATCCTGGGTGGTGCAGAAAACCTCTCATTTTGAAGTTATCTGACCAAAGCATTTACATGATATGAGGCCAAACATTAGAAATGACCTGTGTAAAGTGGGAAATATAGTTATACTAACAGTAAGACAAATGCTACCAATCAAAGGTTTTGACTGGAAGTGTTTTTTTGCATTCTCCTCTGTAATTTTGTGTGTTTTGTAATTTTGCTATGTTTTATGTTTATAGGAGCTGCACACAACAGAAAAGACCAAGTTGATCACTCAGTTGCGTGATGCCAAGAACCTTATTGAACAGCTGGAGCAGGACAAGGTGGGTGAAGCATTTTTCAGGCTTTAGTTACACCTTGTTTGAAGGTCCTGCAAGTGAATCTACTTGTATTAGAAGACTAGATATGGTTTTTTTACTCTTCCGCTGAGTAAAGACATCAGATACCTTGAAGCCCCATGTGGTTTCTCTTAAATTTTGATCCTAGCTCTGCAGGATGGACCGCAGCTTATAAGATCTTTGTGCTGAAAGCACTTAGTCAAAAACAGTTACATACACAAGGTTTGAGTGACTTGACTGTTTATAATACAGAGATAGTACTTATCAAGTCTACATCAATTTCAGTGTCAAGTAATTTGCTCAGACTGTATAGTTAAAATGTTGTCTTTCTTTTAGGGAATGGTAATTGCTGAGACGAAGCGCCAGATGCATGAGACACTGGAACTGAAAGAAGAGGAGATTGCACAGCTACGCTCCAGACTCCAGCAGGCTACTGCCCAAAAAGAAGAATTACAGGAACAGAAAGAAAAGGCTGAGAAATCAGGTGAGTGGAATTGACCTCTGTAAGTTCAAAGGAACATCTTTTTTGAGTATGTTAATGATTGTGTTGTTTTTCCAAAGCTTTTGAAGAACTTGAACGTGCGTTGGGTGTAGCCCAGAGGGCAGAAGAGGCCCGAAAGCAGCTACAGGTTCAGCTGGAGGAGCAAGTGAAAGAAGTTGAAAGGGCCTGCGAGGAAGAGAGGAAGAATCTGCAGCATGAACTCCTACGAGTCAAACAGGAGGTTGTCAACATCATGAAGGTCAGGAAATGACTTCTGCAGAACCCTCATTCATTTATTTTCATTTTGAAGAAGTCATTGGTAAACTAAGATAACTGTGGTATTTCCATGTGAATTGGTTGTTTTGGTTGTTTCTTTGAACAAGACATGTTAATAGAAGCTGAGTACTAACAATGACTCACCAAGTGAATAATAAAATAATAGTGAAATATCATGACTCTGTTGATTTTGATGTAGTTTTTTTGATATTTACAAAAATATGAAATGTTGTAAAATGTGTTTGAGGACACAGAAAAGTACTATAAAAATCAAATTTCTCTTTATATTTATTGATATTAATTTGTACTAGAAATCCTCAGAGGAAACAGTGGCCGGCTTAGAAAAACTCCACATTGAAGCTTTGGCAGCTAAAGAAGCAGAGATAAATGCCAGACTCAACAAATCTGTGGTAGGTGCTGAGTGTTTTCATTCATTACCTTTCACAACATAAGCAAATAGATCAGAACATTCATTTTTAAATTTTAATATGACATTCTTGTGCTGCTTAGGAGCAATGCAGAGAGGAGTTTGCCCAGTTGGCTAATGAGCGAGAGCAGCAGGTGTCTCTGGCTCTGGAGGATGCAGAGTTACAAAAGACGGCTCTGAAGGCAGAAGCTGATAACAAGATTAAAGAGATACAGCTGGAGCTAGAAACTGCAAGAACTGTGAGTTTCTTTGTCTTTGTTTTCACAACGGCTTTAAAAAGGTTTTACAGTGATAATATTGTACCTCATATCTTGGTGAAGTTGGTTTTATTTTTCGAAGTCATCTCACATGCCAGTGTGTTATTACAGAGCACATTACATTTGGTTAAATGCTGAAGTGAATTTTTAAGAAGGCAGTAAATTGACAAATTGTAGAGAAGAAATGCCATCCCTCTATGCTTCTGAAGTTTTGAATATTTGGCGAACTGTCAACCATGTGCTTTTTAAAAATTTTTTTAGAACTGTAAAATTATTAGCTGTGTTAACTTTATAAAATAACATCTAACAACCTACATGTATGTGATTGCAGAGAATATTGGAGCTGGAGAGCTCTGTGGAGAAGATCTCACAAGATGAGTCAAGTCTCTCCCATGAACTTCCCAGTCAGCTTGATGAGCTGAAGAATCAACACAAAGAGCAAATCTCTGCATTAGAGAAAAAGCACCAGGAGCAGCTGGAAACGGACAAGGGCGTCCTAACTGAGCAGCATAATACTGCTGTTGAGGAACTCAAGGAAAAACACAGAACTGAATTGGAGACCCTTCTGAAAGATAAAGAGCTGCAGTTCCAAGCACACGTTGAAGACATGAACCAGAAAACATTAGAGAAACTGGATGCAAACCAAGCACAGCTAGAGGCAGTTTCCTCTGAACTTTCTGAGGCTTTGAAGAGTAAAAAGCTTCTGGAGGAGAAGTTGGTGGCAGCTGAAGAATCTCACAGTGTAGCCCAACAGGAACTTGAGAAGAGGTTTCAAGATCAGGTGGTAAAGCACAACGATGAACTTGCAAATATCAAACAGGTGCATGAGCAGTCACTTGGAGGTATAGAGAAAACTCTAAAGGAGGAACTTAACGCATTGAAGATTGTTCTGAGAGAAAAAGAAACGGAAATTGAAGAACATGTCCTTCGAGAAAAAACACTACAAGAGGAGTCACTTTCCACTTTACAGCAACTAAATGTCAAGGTTAAGGAACTGGAGGAGTTGCAGCAGAGTTTGTCACAATCCCAGCTGGAAAACAGAGGCTTAAATGAGTCTAATGCACAGTTAAATAAGATGTCAGAGGATCTTGATCAGTGTAAGAAGGACATGGTTGATTTGAAGCATCAGTTGGAAGTAGCAAAGAATGATTGTCAACAAAAAGAGAAGTCACTTGAAGATCTAGAGCATCAGTTACAACAAACCAAAAATGAGCTCTCAGAGCAGGAGAAGTCATTTACTGCAGAACTGAACACTAAGCAGGAAGAACATATGCTCCTCAAAAAACTGCTAGATGAAGAAAAGGCTGCCCATGAGAAGAAGATTAAAAACACTATAAGTGAGATGGAATCCAAGCTGAAAGCACAAGAAACAAAAATGGAAAAGTTCAAACAGAGGGCCAAAGAAATGCAGGAGAATTTTAAGAAAAAGCTTCAGCAGAATGAAGAAAACATGAAGAAGGAACTTGCAAAGAAGGAGACTGAGATTCAGCAAAAAGAACAACAAGTTCAAGAAAAAATTCTTGAGATGGCCCAGAACAGTTCCCAAGGCCTCAGCAGTGCCGTTTCAGAGCTGCAAGCCAACCATAAGGAAGAAGTGGAGAAGTTACGTGACAGCCATAAGCATGAGATTGAGGAGCTGGAGCGCCATTGGCAGGAGAAGTTAGGACAGCAAGAAGAGGAAATAATGGAGAAGCAGTCACACATACTGCAGGAGAAGGCTCAGGAACAGGAGGAAATAAGTCAGCAACTTAGCAGAAGCAAAGAGGAGAGCGAGCAAGTGTTGTGTGAAATAAACAATTTAAAGGAGGAACTGGCAATTAGAGAAACCACTGTGCAAAAGCTGCAACAAGAGCTTAATAAAACAGTGGATAAGCTCGAAAGTTTGTCTCAGGGTGAAGTGTTGCTCAAAGAGCAAATTGAGTCAGTGGAGAGGAACCTTAACCAGGCTCTGAATGAGAGAAACACACTCCAAGACAAGCTGAACCTAACAGAGGAAGAGGGCAGACAGAAGTTGAAGACTTTGTCAGATAAGTTGGAGGAAACAGAGAAGCAGCTTCAAGCACTGGAAGGTTCCAGATGTAAAGAAAGTGAAGATTTGCAGAGTAAATTTGAGGACACTGCCATTCAGCTACAAGCCAAGGAAGCAGAGTTCCAGCAGCGCCTAATAATGATCAGCAACCAAATGGAGCATTACTGTAAAGAGGTTCGGTCTAAAGTGGAGTGTGGATCTGATGAACTCTGTCAAAGGATTGAATGTAGGGTGGACGAGCTGAAAGATAGGCTGCTCTGTAGTCAGAAAAAGGTAGAACATCTAAAAAACATCATCCTCACTAAAGCAGACAGAATTAGCACTTTGGAGGAGAATCTTCGCCAGCAGACGCAGGAGAATACCAATCTATGCATTTCCCTAGAACAGATGAACGCTCAGGTAAATGCTCATATGGAGCATATCAAAGCCTTAAAACATGAGAGGGAGGATCATTCTCAGTCTATCAGTGAAAACGTTCAGAAAATTGAAGAGCTGAGAAACGCAAACAAAATTGTATCAGACATTATGAAAATGAATAAGTCACGCATCAGTGAGTTGGAAAGCATCATCAGTGACTTGAAAAATCAGGTAGCAAGTAGCATAAAAGAGAAGGAGGAAGCCATAAATCAGATGAACCAGCAGTATGAAGAGGAGAGACAACAAGCTGCTGCTCAAATGAAGGAGACCATTGATAAAGTAGAGGAGCAGAGGAAGGCTGCATTAGAGCAGGCAGAGGCACTCAGGACTAATTTATCTGAGTACGAGACAAAGTTCACCCATAATGACAGCAGTATTGCTTCCCTGCAGACCAGGCTTAAAGAGCTTGAGCAAGAAATCTCTGAAAAGAATGAAGCAGTACTAAGGCTGACGGCAAGTATTGACAATCAGTCCATCAGCAAGTCTGAGATGGACCAGGTGTTGAGTGAGAAAGAGGAGAAGGTCAGTGGACTTACCTCAAAGCTGGAAACTTGCATCCGTCAACTCGATGAGCTTCAGGAGCAGTTAGCCTTAAAGACAAAAGAGTGTGAAAAACTCACAGCTGACCTCAAAGAGCAACACAGCATCAGGGAGAATGAAAAGAGGGAGTTAGTCGAGCAGCTGCAGCAGATCCAGGTGCAGTGCACTCAGAATACTAACTCGGAGCAGGAGATGGTAGAAAAACTGCAGTCCCTTGAGGATGACAACCAGAAGTGTAAACGTGAGCTTGAAAGTCAAAGGGAGGAATTTGAGAGGATGAAAGATGAGATTCTCAAGAGCAAAGAGGAGAGTCTGAAAGCAACCGAAGAGAAGTTATCTGCGGAGAGTTCTCGGAAAGTATCAGAGCTGAAGAAGAAGGCCGAGCAGAAAATCAGTCACATTAAAAAACAGTTAACATCTCAGCTTGAGGAAAAAGAGCAGATGATCAATACACTTCAGACTAGCCTAGAGGAAATCAAGAGCAATGAAATGTCTGGCAAACAGCACATGGAAACGTTAGAAGAAAAAACAAAATCACTCGAGGAAAGTTTTGTCAGGCTTAAGGAAGAGCAGGAGAAAGAACTTGAACTGGTTCTGAGTAAAGAAAGACTTGTGAAAGAAAAGTCTTTGGAGGAATTAAAAAACATGTACGAAGAGAAGCTGTCCTCACTACAAAGAGAGACAGTGCAACAAGGGGAGCTCAAAGAAGCTGAATCAGCGCTACACGAAATCAAGGAAAAGCTAAAAGAAACTGAAGAGCAGAAACAAAACCTTCTTGCTGAAATAAATCGCCTGAAAGAAGAAATACGTGAGAAGGATGCTGAACTCGATCACCATCGGTCAGTTATTAAGCAGGTTCAAAATCAATCAGAACGTGAGGCTGAGGTGAAGGTGGAATGTAGCAGCGTTCAGCAAACCAGAAGCGTGATGGAAAACCACTCTCCGATGGAAGAAGTGGATGGTGAATCTCTGGAGGATCTCAAGATGAAACTGAGTCGAGTGAAGAATGAGAAAGAGAAATTCCACAAAGACTTCATTCGGCTACAGAAAGACATCCGATTACTGAGGAAGGAGCATGAACAAGATCTAGAATACATGAAGAAAGAGTTGTTGGAGGAGAATGACAAAAAGCTGAAGTAAGTTAAGAGTAATAATTTATAGAATAAGAAAATGAAACCTGCCCAACCTACATTTGTAGGTTAGGTGCTTTTGGTGTACATGCAAATTAAATACATTTGCTTTACTCTGTGTTCTAATAGGCTGGAGTTGGAAGATATGGAAATGAAGCACAATTCTGCTATCAAACACTTAATGAGAGAGTTCAACACGCAATTATCCTTAAAAGAGAGAGAGCTTGACACATCAGTGATGGAAGCCATTGGTGAGATGAAAAAAAAAAAAGTTCCATTCATAAAACCGAAGTGACAAGATTTACAGCTCTCCTGTACAGCATGGGAAATGCATGAGTTATATTTATTCTCTTTTACTGCGGTGAAATAATTTTGGTATACTGTGGTCTACTTATGTTCTTGGGAATAACTGCCTTAAAATGGAAAATCAAAGTAAATATGACTGGCTTTCATGTACAACAGTAGGGTGGAATAACAACCTGGAAACATGAAGCATTTTTTTCATCTTGACACCGGGTGGAACAAAATTAAGGGATCATTGCACTTGGAAACAGCCCCTGGGTTGCCATGTTTCCTCGTTTCCTTCATGGTTAAATCATGTTACATTCCAGATGGGATGTGAGTGAGTGGTTTGGAATATGAACTGGATTCTTTTTATGTGCTGTTCTTTCTCTCTACTCAACACAGCAAAGGCCCAGAGTGTTGAAGCAGAGCTCATCAGTAGTCATCGTGAAGAAGCCAGCCAGCTGAGGAAGGTGATTGCCCAGAAGGAGGAGGATTTGCACACGGCTGTTCAGAAATACGAACAGATTATACGGGTAACGTAAAGGGATAATGTTTTTTTTTTTCTTTTCTTAAATAAAATCTCTTTTTATAGGTTCAATTTAGAAAGGAGATGAACCACACCCACCGTTTAGAAGTGATCACTGCCCTGGTTGACAGCTATTTTACTTTCCCTTAGTGTAAAGCAGTAGTTTTTGTCCGACCTGCCTCTCGGCCCTATCAGGGCACCTCTTCACAGACGCCTCCAGTCATGTTATAAATGTTATTGTTTGTGTGAATTTTAAAAATATTATTTTAATGGTTAAAAAAAGTTCATACAATGTATGATGTTACAATAATATTACTGAGAGTGCTCAGTGACTGAATGTTTCAACTGTTTCTTTCACTTTCAGCTACTTCAAACATTTTATTTAGGTCAACTACATCAACTGTTTATCCATTACTTTTAGATGTCTTCATAACTATTTAAATCATTTATCCTTTATTTTAAAATAACTATTCAAGTATTTATCCTTCACATTTTTAGCTTTATCAACTTCTCTGCTCGCGTTCCCACTAGTTTAAACCATAAACTGTACTACTCCACAATCTTTTCAGTCTCTCTGGCCCCTTTCCTGGGGGAATCACTGGTCAGCAGCTTGTATAAAATTTTCTCCTTTGCCATTTCCAATTACTGTGGGAGGTCTGCAGTAAGGCAGTGATTTGAATGAGTGAATTAACCAGCATAGCTGAGTTGTGATGTTGAGATGAAACATAGGAAATGACTCAGCAATTGTATTTTCTTTTCCAGAGTCGAGAGGAGGAGATGGGGGAGAGAGTGTTGCAGGTTCAGAAGGAACTAGAGGAGTTACAAGCAAGGAACCGTGGCACTTCTGAGGTACAAATATTCTAACCCTACTGTACGTGCTCACCAGCTCTTCAAACATCTGTAAGTGATGTCACAACTGGCTGATCTACTAAAGACAGTTTTCTGGTTACTCAGATGTAGAACTGAATACTTGCAGCTATTAAAGTGCATTATATAAGAGACTGGAGGTATAGATACAATTTAAATAGTGATTCTGCAGAAGTTATAAGATATTTTTACAATGGCTACATGAAATGACAATGACTGTATAAAACAATTTTTTCCAACATCCTTCTAGGAAATACTGGTGTCTGATGGAAGCATTACTGGTTCTGAATGACAGGCACATTTTTTGTGTCAGTAACACAAGATCCCTTCAGGTTCTTCATTTGAAAGTTCACATTCAGTGTTAGACTTAACAGATATCAGCTGTCTTTTCTTTTGTCTTGCTTCGTAATCGAAGGATTCCATCTACCAAGTGCTCAGGGACCATTTAAGTAGTTTGCTCTGATCAGTCCCTTGCTCAGTCATGTGGCTGCTCTCCAGAACATGCAGGATGCTTGTGTGAATCACTCAGGGCTGTTCTCTTTAGAAAATATAGATTGTGAGACAGCAGCTAGACTCAGTTGCTGTTCTTAATTATCATCATATGATGCAGTTGTAGGCCTGAGATTTATTCTACGGTAAGACTTACATGCAAGATGTGGTCATATAGGACAACAGTTCTCCAGGGAGACATTTTACCCAGGTGTTGAGGTGTTATTAGACCCCTGCACTGATTCTTCTACCTTTACACACACATGTCCAGATGCACATAGACACAAAAAACTATGCTGCTCTCTGCTGCATTTTTTCTTGGTGAGGTAATAACTTATGGGTGGATAGTATGAGTTTATGCTCAGGGAGGCCTTTCCTTACTAGGGGCCTCACAAACCATTCTTCATTTAGATAGAAGGTCATTGTATCTCTCCATAGAGACAGCAGACCATCTCTCTTTATATAAGTCCTGGTGTGTCTGTGCAGAATAAACTGGACATGAACAATGCTTTAATTACACACTAATATTGTCAAAAAAACTCAAACATCTAACCCAACAGCATATGTGGCTTGCCGAACAGATTTATATTTTTATAAAAAAAAATAAATAAAAAAAGTTAAATCGGCAGTGTTTTCCAGCTCCTATGGCGGGATTCCGAGGCATTCCCAGGCCAGATGAGATATAGGTTCTCTCCGGCATGTTCTGGGTCTACCCTGAGGCCTCCTACCAGTTGGGTGTGCCTGGAAAACCTCCAGAGGGAGGCACCTTGATGAGATGCCTGAACCACCTCAGCTGGCTCCTTTTGATGTGAAGGAGCAGCGGTTCAACTCCAAGCCCCTTCTGCATGTCCAAACTCTGCACCCTATTTCTAAGTCTAAGAATGGCTACCCTGCAAAGGAAGCTCATTTCGGCCACTTGTATTCATGATCTTATTCTTTTGGTCATGACCATAGGTGAGGGTTGGAGCATAGACTAACTGGTAAATTGAGAGCTTTGCCTTTTGGCTCAGCTCCTTCTTCACTACTATGGTTTGGCCCCTATCTGCCTGTCAATCTCATGCTCAGTTTTACCCTCACTTGTGAACAAGACCCCGAGATACTTAAACTCCTTCACTTGGGGAAGCAGCTCACTCCCAACCCACAGGGAGCAGTCCAAATATATTAAGTGATGGACCAGAGCACAGTAAACAAATAAGGTGTCTTATCCACTTGTCTGTCTGTTGTTGTATTTCACCAGGAAGCTGTAGTGTTTACAAACAGGAGACCTTAATTATAAGAGAGGGTCTTCTAGCTCTGGCTTCTTGTTTGCATTGGCCATGATGTTCCGTAAGCGAGAGGCTTGGCTAAGCAAAGTGTGCTATGTTTGCACTCCAGTCTGCTGCTTAATATGTTTATGTAGGAACGTGCATTTGAAAAAATGTTCTGCATGCAAAACAAGGCTATTGTTAACTACTATTACAGATTGCATTCATTACACATTTGCAATGAACCTAAAGTCCTGTACTGAAATGGTCCACTATAAATACATGGACCTTTATACCCCTAGTCACCATGTTTTTTTGTACTGAAGGAACATGGTATCTAGTGCATCTGCGTGGCTCATTATCTATTACTGCATTGTTATTTTTTAGTGTTTTTGCACATGTATCTTTTTATTCTATTTTAATGTTAAGTATCTTTTTTTCTTATTCATTTGCGCACAGCTGAGTACAGAAGAACTGCAGGTATGTCTTTGTTTTATCACAGTATCACAGGTTTTACCATTTCTAGTGTTCATACAATTTTAGCCGGTTGGCACTGTAAACCAATTGTTTGATCAAGAAAACATGCATAGTTGACTGATAATGTACTGTTTTTGCACTGCCTTACAAGTTTCACTTCAGTTCTGTTTGACATTATTGCTCTGATCTCTGCCTCAGGCTCAGCTTGCTGAGAAGACGACTTTGCTGAGCGAGGCTCGGCTGAAAGAGCAGGAGTTTGTAGAGAGAGTGAGTGCCGGGCCCTATGTTTGCAAGGACAAGCGAACAGCAAATCTCTTGCGTTGTATTCTCAGGATTCTGTGGCCTCTGGCAAGAGTGGCTACTGCTCTCCTGCTGCACAGCACATCTGTTTACATTTGGTTGAACCCTTTAAACAATTAAAGCAACACCTCCCACAGTTTTTCTCATAGTCATCGTTTTTACAAACATCCCCTCAGGACGATCAACAAAATGCTTGTTTCCCATGCAACAATTAAGCAAATGCATACAATTAATCCACTGGAGTCACATTGCTTTTTTTAAAACTATTAATCCGTTCATGCTTGTGTTTTTATCCACATTAGATTCATTCGCTTGAGGACAAGATTAAATGTTTCCGCCGAAAAACTGTTGTAACTCATCTCGGGAGCCCATTCCAAGGTAATGTTAACACCATGAATCACTTACAGTACTTCTTTTTGAGCCACTTTCCTTTTTATAATTATGTAGTGTTAAAATTTAAATCGTAATAGTTCTTGTCCAAAGAGCCTAGCTGCTCTGTATGATTTCAGAGTTGTGTTTTGACACACTACCAATAATCTGCCAGCATCTGCATTGCTTTGTGGACTAGAAATGGGACAAGAGATGCAGACTCTGAGTAGTGTGTGGTCTGCTTTAGCTATGCTCGTTTGTGTGATTTTTAGGCGAACTGGTTAAGATTGAAGCTGTGGTTATAATTAGGGCTTGGTTAAGGTTAGAGTTAGACATTTAACCGTTGTGGTTAAGGTTAGGGTAAGCCTCTAGGGTCTGCCTGTAACCCAATGCAGTATCCTCAGTATATCATAAAGCGGTCATGGTGTTTGTGTGTGTGTATATCCTCCTCTGAAACCTCCCCTGCTGGTGTTAAAGAGAATCTGCTGTCAGAAGCGGGGGCGGTGAAGAAGCCATCCTTGTGTTTAATGGGTTTTACAGATTGTGGTCTTAACGTTTCCCACACAGGACCCTGCAGCACACAGACGTCTCCACTTCCAGGATTCTATCCAGCCACTCTGTCCTGTATTTCCTTTGGACTTCAGTACTTACTACAGACAGTATTTTCTACTCATGCTGTCTGACACATACATAGCTGTGGTTTCAGATAGAGGGCTGATCACAAGGCGGTTGATATCTGGTTTTAAGTCTTTAGCTCTGTGATTGGCAACATAGGGTCATGATGACAGAGTCTAGGATTTATTGGTGACAGGCTATTTCACACCAGAGATCAAAGAGTTGTTTGCACTTCTCTATCACCGTTTCCTTTCATCTAATCACACGGTGTCTCTCTTCATATGCTGGGACGTTTGGTGCTGTCTGAATGATTATTCCAGATAAGCAGAGAGCGAGTGGGTGTTGTTCCACTTTAAAGACCTGATGGGGATATTTGACTTACAGAAGCAATAGTCTTAATTGTTACCAGCCCTGTCCAAGTTATGGCACAGATTTTCCCATTCATAGTTTTTAGAGGGATAATGGTTTTGCAGCTTTGGGCAGAGAATTAAAACAGTCATTCTTAGACTTTTGCAGCATAAAAGTGCCTAATTTGAACCCATACTTGTGTAGAAAGTGGTTCTGTCTTTGGTTGCTAACACAAGCATTATGTTCTTGGTTATTGTTTTATTTATTTATTTTCTAAGTGCCAGAATTCAGTTGGCGTATTTGACAGTGAAAGGCCTTGTTGAACTTTATGCCAGTGTACTTTGAAACAGAAGAAGAAAAAATCACTACTGTAAACTCGCACAACTAATTTGTAATAGAGTGCCATGGTACCAAGTCTTAAAACTCACGAGTGAGTTAACATTTTTGCACTTCAGGTTCACTCCCCCCGAGGTCAGTGGGTTTTCTTTGAATGGGTTTCTGGTTAGGCGCCTGAAATAAGCTCTGTGGTTAACACAAGGCCAATATGTTTTGTTCTATGACATTAAGTAAACCAGTAAATACCCCACTCATGATTTTTAAATCTTTTGTGTCTTTAAAAAGACGGTTGCTAGCTAGAGGTTAACTGAGTCTACAGTTGTTGTTGGGGACATCAAACGTCATTGCACCAAACATGGAAACATTTACTCACTAGTCCACCTTTACAAACTTCGTGGTTTTATACTCAGGCGTCTACAAACAATTCTTGAAACTTGAGAGGTGTTAAAGAGAGAGGCACTTTGAAACTGTTAGAATGTTCATGAAATGAACTGACCAGGTCTCAGATGGTTAAATGGCTGTTTTTGCTTGTTTGTACAGATCCTGGATTCAACGGCACTGATGCACTCTCAGAGCCCGCTGAGATGGAGTACCTGAGGAAGGTGTTGTTTGAGTACATGATGGGACGGGAGACGAAAGTACGCTTCTTTTTCTTAAGTCGTTATGTACAAAACATTGAGTGATTGATTCAGTTCCATCTTGATAAACAGTTGGTTGACTGTAACAACACTAGTTTCACTGTAAAAATACTAGAGACAGTAATGGAAAAAAAGTCCAGGACTTTGTTGGTCTCTACCTGAAAGTCTCATCTTGTATTTTATAAAGATATTGGTACGTTGTTAGTCCATTAATCAAAACATGCAAAATAGCTACACTGAAATGATGGCATCCAAGTATCAGTCCATACCATTTTTTACCATTGAAATTAAGAATGCTGTCGACATGGTCTTAAAGTCAGCAGGACTTCCACAGCTCTTCAAGCAGTCTTTATGTGAACATAGCAGACCTCCCTGTGTAGAGGATGTCCTCCAGGCTGCCTGCAAGCACATACATCTTGCATGACGCAGATTTGCCTTTTTCAGTCATGCTGGCCTTGTTTAGTGTTGGTTGAGTGGTTAGGTTCCCTACGCAGCAGCTCTGTTTCTGATTAGCCCCTGTGTTTATGAGGAAATACATGCACCCTGGTAGATAGGCCTGGAGATAATTATACCAATGATGGGTTTTTTTTTGTTTTGTTTTTTGTTTTTTAACTCTCTTTCGTTCTTATCACTTGTATAAATATATTTATAAATGCCTCAGAACAGGCTTGATATGATTGGATCATATGTGTCAAAGAGAGGGGTTGGTGTATCTTGAAATGATAAATGAAGATAATGAGATGTTTTGACACTATAACAAAATCAAATTTTGTATGTTGAAGGTGAAATTTCAGGCTTTATTTTTTTACTTATTATTAAGCTTTTCATTGATTTATTATTATTAATCCTCATCCACAGACGATGGCCAAAGTTATTACTTCCATGCTCAAGTTTCCTCCAGACCAAGTGCAAAAGGTTTTGGACAAAGAAGACTCAAAGGCAGCTGTAAGAACCTGTTTACCTGCTGAGGCTGCTTTCATTAGCTCATTCACTGACGTTACCTTAATTCCTTTGCAGCTATGACTCTAATTATTCATTGATAATGATGATTAATTGAATGAATTTTCTATCTGTGCATCCACAGCCTTGGTTACGATGAGCATCTGAATAATTTGGGTGCTTTTGGGTGAAAATCTGCTGCTACTGCTGCTGAAGGGGAAGACTCCCGTGTATTTGATCGGCCCATCTCTCGGCATTTCTTGTCATTTTATGTATATGAGTGTTTGTGTGAGGGCACACTGGGGCATAAATGAGTGGTGTGCAGTATGTGTGAAAATAGAAACACAAATCTTCCATAAATCTGTGAATTTTAAGTCAAAACTGAGTTTAATTTATACGTTTTAGGTTAAGATAAATGGCTTTTTATTTAGAAGGTGTTTATAGAGATTGGCTTGTGCAATAAATGATATCGTTATAATGATGCTGATGATCTGCCAATTTAGGTTTCAGTGTTGAGTTGTCTAAATCACTTCCTCTGTAAAACTGTAAATGACCCTCGAACTGTGCAGTCGCACCACATTAAGATACTGGCCTCTGGACCTTGTATGTTTAACATAGCTTTTCTAAGCTTTATATTTTGTCACTGACATAAAAACACAAAACTGTAAATTGTATTAAGATAATTATCACTGTATTATAAGGCACAATATGACTTGCTATACATTTTCAGACTAATGAATTAAATCTTATTTACAGAAGACCTTTGGTCACTCCTTTATCCTTATCATACAGAATTTTCCATGTTAAATCTGATACCTTATCACGTTACATGGGTTTACATCAGGCTGTCTAGCAGGATAAAGCATAACATGTCCTGTTGACAGAGAAACGTGGAATCCAGACTGTTGGTGGTGGGTCACATACTTAGCAGACATAACCTTTGTTCACTCTTTAATTCTTTCCACAACTGAAATTCAAGTTTCTGTCTAAAGGACCTGCAGTGTACTCAGATACAAATGCAAACATACTCTATAGTTAAGTGGATACTACAAAGGTACATTTAAACACTAAAAACCTCTCCAGAAATGTCTGAAGGCATTGTGTGTTTAATATGACTTATTAAAAAAATATAAAGAAAGTCGTGTGTGTATTGAACCAGTGATTGGTTTCCAAACCAGTGATGTCACAGAACTTGCTTAGACTTAAATTCAGGTTTAAGGTGAGCACAAAGACACTTTCCACATTCAGCAGATGGATTTAAAGCTAGTCCTAGTGTCAAACTGCACCTACTGTCCATCATTCTGCCAATGAAGGTTTGAGTGAAGGGGGAAATTAAAACAGACATTTACAGGTGTACACAAATACAGACAGCTAAGCAAAATGGCAAACAAAACTGTTATGAGCTGAACAGCAATCTGCTTTACACATTGGTCAGATTTTCAGTAATTACTTGTTCTGTAAAAAGAGCATGGCAAATGTGCAAAGAAAACTGGAGTATGATTATAACTTTATTACTTTATTTACCGATGTGTATGTGCATATTGAAAGACTACGTATTATATATACAGTGACCTATAATGTAAGATGTAGAGACATTGTGCAACATCTGGTTCCAAAGCAGGGGGTTTGACCTCCTACCAAAACATTGCAGGATAAAACTGAGAGTATGTCAGTTGATTGAAATAAATAAAATTACTTTTGCAAATATATAAATGTGCTTTTTCCCAGTCTCTTATTTAATCTTTGCTTTTTTGTAAATCCTTTTATTCAAGAGGAAATTAAGTCAGTCTTTGGTTGACTAAACAATTGGTAGGAGGACCTTGAGTGTCCTATTGCTTGTTTAAGGCGACATAAACAACTAAGAAACTCCCAATTTTAACAGAGAAACTTGGCTATTGTAATGAATAAATCGCAATACTGCTCATTAAAACCAAAACTTTTTACTATTAAAAATGGTGTTAGATGTGTTCGTTGTGCCTGGAAAACATTAGATGGCAGCAGTGCGCCCTCGTTTCTCAGTTTAGGTGCGTTGAACCCCCGAAGCCCATTGGTGAAATGTGATTCTTTGCGCCTCAAAAACGATTCGCCTCTCTCCATAATCGTTCATAACTTCACCAGTGTCACTCTTGCATAATGAAAAACACAGGTTCCGGTTTCACCTTCCAGATTAAAACATCACTGCAGCAGTTCAACCCGACAGCGAGGTCTTTATTTTCCAAAAAACATTCACATTTCCGGCCTTATCCCAGTTGCATGTTTGTAATTGACACAGCTGACCGAATTTATCTCCACGACCCGGAGCCTACGAGCAGGACTTTCTCAGATTGACACAGAATGGGGAGAAGCTGACGCACCGTTATTTACCGGACCGTTAACTTTCCTGCTCAAAGCTTTCCTCATGCCATCACAGCCCACACGCTGTGCTAGACCAGGAAAATCACCTGAAAGATAGTTTTGTAAAACTTTGACCACTGAAGAGTTGACATTTCCTCCTTATTGGTTTTCCCCTTCTTTTCTGGACATTTAACCGCGTTATTACGCGTGATGTGGGAAGGGATGGCTCCTCCTCGAAGACGAAAAACTGGATTACAAATAGTTTTTTATGCCTGTCTTTCAATTTCTTTGGCTTATTCGTATAATATAGACTTAGAACATCCTTTGGTGTTCCGAGGGAAAAATTCTAGTTTTTTTGGCTATTCTGTGCTGGAGCATTATCACGACAACACACGGTGGTGAGTCCCATGTTTTACTGCTCCTGGAAATGATGTTATTTTCTATCAATGATGCAATGAATTCCTACTTTTGAAATGAATGTTTCAGGTGTTTCTAGAGTTCGGGCTGCGTCCATACTTAATAAATATAAACAATAACGGATAATGTTCCTCATGAAAGTCAAATTCTGCTTGTACTGAAAGTTTTAATCCTGGCAATAGATTTTCATTTTTATCCAAAGGCAGCGGTGACACATGTTAAAGATATTGTTAGGTGTTTGGCGGGTGAAAACCTCAGTCTCCCATCCTCTCCCCTCTCCCCATTTGATGCAGGATAATAGTAGGAGCTCCGAGGGCAAACTCTACCTACAGTAGCTCCGTGCGCTCTCCTGGAGCTGTATATAAGTGTCGAGTTCACAGCAACCCAGACCACCGCTGCACAGAGATGGACCTGGGAAGAGGTAGCAGCATCTCCACAACAGCAAATAATGGCATATACACTAACTATAGCCTCAGGGCAACACATGCACCTACGCACATCTTGATCAGTTTAGAATTTAAAACTTAAATCGGAGAAAAGTTCACTACCTGTTGCCACAGTCCACACAGACACATGCTGGGCTTCCCTGCAGCTTTTCTTGTCCACGCTGCATGAACTCCCCCAAGCATCTGTTTTGTTTTATCAGAATACAGCTTTATACTTCTCCTAACAGTGCCACAGTTCTTCTTTTAGTTCTGAACCTTCTATATGGAGACATGCAAAAGACAAGAGGGTTCTGTGTGCAGAGGTCTGTTTTATGTTTTTATAAATATGATTTATGCTTCTGCTAATATTTTCCAAGTATGAGAGCCAGAAAGTTGAGCTTCGCTTTCCCCTTCTCGACTTTGTTCTTGCGGTCAAATAAGCCAGGGTGCACGCGTGGCTCAATATATGTTCAAGAAAAAAAACAGAGAGCACATATACTCTCACAGTAAGCATGTGCTGCTTGGTGCTCAGTGAACCATTGACTTTTGAGAGGAGATGAAACCTGAGGCTATCAGGGAACTAACAGCATGCTGACACAGAGTAATCACAGCAGTTTACACTGAATGTATTGTAGAAAGAGAATAAAACTTGAAGCGGGCTACTGGGTTTATGACCTTTCTCGTCTTTATGATTTATAATCTCCATAAGATGGTCCTGGATTTAGTCAATAATGTTTATAAAATTACAAAGCAGTACAAGATCTGCATCATGCACACTAATACCTATCATTTGAGGTAACACTTCCCAAGTTGTATGGCACCAGTCTGTGCACTGCAACACTACGCATTTCTCTGTAGTCTTTTGATGCTTCCCTTTTAAGTCTGATTTCCCTGTTTATCTGAACCTCATAACTTTGTGGGATTACATATAAACATGACTGAAAGCACTAATTGTAAAGCATGAACAACAAACTAGCTGGGTTGATATAGCATCAGCCAATATTAGCTTACAGCCGATATGATGGTATCGGCATGTTGGCTAATAAGTAACAAGAAAATAGCTTTACAGAAACATTGGGCATATGTTTGGTTGTTTTGGACTGTAGGTGGGACAAAACATGACATTTCATTGAATTTATGGACATTATTATGGGCATTTACATTTTTTTCCAGATGTTTCTTTAACCAGACAGTTGATTGAGAATTGCAGATTACTCACTCATGAAGCTAATCATCATTAGTTGCAGCCCTAAATGGATTCTCATAGAAAATGTTTATTTTATGTATTAAAGTTAAAAGTAATATCAGCCAATTGTCAGACATGTAAGTCTCAAATATCAATATTAGTTTGTGCCTCAAAAATCCACTGTTGTTGTGCTATGCTAAGTGTCATTATAGATTTTTTCTTTGGGTAAAGGTGACAAAGTATTGATTGTAGCAGCTGTAGAGTAACTTAAGATTTGCTGTGAGCAGTAGAGAACCACAAACAACTGCCTTGTTTTATTTCTGGTCTACAGTGTTTCAAACAGTCAACTCTATAACCTTGCCAATTCAGCAGAGATGAATAATAAAAGCCAAAAGTGAAAAGCTGACAGTGGCTGACGGGTGACAGGTTACTAGCTCCAAGACATCCTCTGTCCTGATGACTCGACGTCTGCAAGCTGCTCTCATTGTCTTCCAGGAAACAGGCCGAGGGAGTCGTGTGGGAAGACGTGCAAGGAAGACAGAGATGATGAGTGGATGGGGGTTAGCCTAGCCCGCCAGGACAGAGCCGACGGCAAGATACTGGTGAGTTACAGGGATACAGTGCTGCACCAGAGCAGACTCTTTAATGCAAACCATATATTCTTGTAAAAACAGACTTGATTATACCACCATCATTGTTACAAGTGTCTTACCTCAAACAGCAGTGTTAAACTACAGCTGGTCTCGACCTTACACCCCTCCTTTAACCGCTTCATTCTCATGTCATGATTTTGTATTTATCGCTTTATGTTTTTGCACATTTAAAGCTGGAGTAACAACTAAAGTGAGACAGAATTAGAAACTGTGGTGTGGTTGCATAATACTACAAACCCTTTACCTCATGTTTGGAGATGGAAAAGTTAGTGCAACATGATTTGGCAAAAGTAGATTGTTTATTGTGTAAAAACAGAGAGTGGTGTTCAGAGAAATCAGAAGACTAACTAGTGGTGCTAATCCCTGGAGGTGCTTGGCTGGGTGTTTGCACAGAGATCATAGGGCAGCTGGCAGAGTTTGTTTAGGGTTCAGCCCCACTGCAGTGGTCTCGTCCAAGGGCAGCCTTTCATTAAACATTATCCCCTGTCCTCTACGGTGGGCAGCGAGGGAACTAGCAGCCTTCCAACAATTTGAAGGCGACTGATGGACTGGGCAGCTCTCGAAACTCATGACAGGTGTGAAAGTGCTTGAATACAAGTTGGTGATTGATCTGGGAGTCAGTAAAATTCCCAGAATTCATCTCTTTGACGACATCCAGATAACCTTTCAGTATGTTTGTCTTTGGTCCATTTTTTATACATCAGTGGAATGTATTGGCATGATTTTCAGACCATTCCCCTTGGCTTTACTTTACAGTCCATCAAAATGTGAAGACTTCTTGGAGATGTCAGTTTTGGGAATTTGAGTGTAGAGTTGTATAGCAACAGGCTTTAAGTCACACACTCTGTGGCCGTCTAGATAGATTTGTGATAAAAAAAAGGTGGTGACTTTTCAGAGCCATGTATTGTTTTGCTCTCCTCTCCAAAGCACTTATTTTCTTTCTCTCATCTGAATGGACTCACGTTGCTGTGCAACAGGGGGGAGATGGCCACTTGGCAGATGTGTACCATGCTGATTTCATCTGTGCTCTCAGTGAAGGCCATGCTTGTGACCAGTTATATCTTTAACGTGACTCTGTACTGTAACCATAAACCTCTGTTGCTGCCTCAACTGAACTTGTCAGCTGCTGCTGGGGCTCCTTTTGCTTTGTTTATGTCAGCTGATTGATCTTTTTTTCCGCTCCAGACAGAGAGCTCATGCTGGACTTGTTACTACTGTTGGCCAAGCTGTCTTTGAAACACAAGTGTTTCTCAACATAGCATGTTGCATTCAGACAGTCATCTGACACTCGTTGTGCGTGCCCACAATCTGCCGAGCTCTTACATTCATTTGGATTGGCTGCATGTGTGCGTGGGGAGTTAAACAATGCGAAGGGAAATTAAGTGAACTTTGACTGTACAGAGGCGTCCAGAACTGTCCCCAGAGCCACAGGAGCCCCACCATCGTCCCCCCCCAGGGTACTAAATTATTACCACATTTACACATTCTGTGGCCTGACTTGTGCAGAGTTTGAAATCTAGTCTGTATTATCCTGTTTGCTTGCCGCTTATCTGTGGAATGTTTTATTTTTAAAATCACAGCAGCAAAATATTGTTTTGAGAATTACTCACTGTCAGTTTAAGAAATGCACTCCCTGTATCAGCAGCAGCACAGTAAAGTCAGAGTTGATCCACTACTATTTTTAGCTGTTTGAACTTTTGGCTTTTCAGTAGAGCCCACAGGAGCAGTTTTGAAGTCATAACTTTTAAAACACAAATGTTAATATGAACATTTTCTTGCTGCAGATTAATGTTGCTTGGAGGTCTGAAGATGCAGCTTAGTTATTCACACCACAGACCATGGTTGTTATGGTCAGGGTTATGAATAGGCTTTAATTCCCCCTCTCAGTGATGATCCTTTGACAGCCACAGAGACACACTGACTCCAGCCCAGTGAGGAAGGGGCCTAAACTGTCAGTGTGGTTCAGGAACGCCTGCCTGCAGTCTGAACTGCTTGTGTTTACAGATTGGACATATACCTGAATTTGTTTTTCGCTCTTGCAGGCTTGTGCTCACCGCTGGAAAAACGTCTTCTACGACTCAGAGCATATCCTTCCACATGGATACTGCTCCATCATTCCTCCAACGCTTCAGGGCAGGACAAAAGAACTCATCCCTTGCTATGAAGGTACAGTAGCGGCACCATCGTGGATAAGTAGAACACATGCTTAATAAACTGTACATGACTAACTTCTCACATCAGCCAAACGGACACCAGAAAAGATCAAACAAATTGCAAGGGGTGGAAGAAAGAACATTTCAGTTTGTTTAGCAAATTTGATTATGACCAAATTCCTATGAAACCAATGCCATTCCCAAATCAAAATAGTCTATAGTTCTTAAGAACAGTTACACCAGAAAACGAGGTGGCTCACACAGGGGGGAGATGTATTATAATATGGGGATCACAGACCTGCTAGCATGGATTTACACTAGCCTTGTATATTTCTTTTTTTTTTTTATCACCTTATGACCCCACAGATTTTTCTTGGGACCCCTTGATGAGTCCAGAGCCCCAGGTTGGGATGCACTAGTTTAGTCTGTTTATCCTACTCTGTGGTTACATTTTATCACTGCACGTGTTCTCTGTAGCCAGCACAATCAGCCTGAAGTCCCACAGCTGCTTCTGGCTTGGGACTGGTGTTCTGGCACTGAGGGAAAGTGTTCTCACTCTTCCTCGGTCCAACACGAGTACTTTGGCAAAAACCAATTCCTACTAATTGATGGACACAGTTTGTTAAGCCAAATATATGCACTTTTTTCAAAAGAGTTTATTTCCTTTTAGCATTTTCACAGATGTGTAATTATGGCTGATTTGTCACAGCACAGGTTTGGGTTGATTTTTCAGAAATCAGGCACTTCTAAAACTCATGTTTTGTTTGAAAAGTAATGTAGCAGGTAACATATTAAGCTGACTCATGCAAATGTGTTATTCATATGTGGCTGAACTATTTATTAAAGGCTGTTTTATAACTTAATTGTGGCCCCAGGTCGGGTTTAACTTCCTTCCGTAACTCTAGTTGCCAACAGTTGTGATGAAGCCAGACGGACTGCATGGGACTTTATTTACAATGCATTATGTGCAGATCCAAGGTCAATATTTTTGCAACCTGAGAGCACAGTGTTCCCCGTAAGTAAGGAGGTTTTTTTTGTTGAATGTGGTGTTGCACCCCTTCTCTCGGTCTACTTTCTGCCCTAAGATTCCTCTTGGACGGGACTGGGATTTGGACTACTGCCATAGAAATGCAGGAAAAACTCCAGTAAATGCTGGCTCAAACACACAGTGGAATAATTTGTGGGTTTTTTTCTTACAGACTATAAACAGAAGTATGGGGAAGAGCATGGTTCGTGCCAGGCCGGGATAGCGGGAGTTTTTACAGAGGTCAGCAACGGTGCTTGTTCACCTTCTTTATCCATATAATACTCTCTTAGTGTTGCTTGTTGTTATCCAAACTCCATGAGCTTCAGAAGCATTGTTCGATAAAATGAGCAGCTGAATCACATGTTCAACTGTAATACCAATTTCTGTTACTTGCATTTTCTTGTTAAATATGAAAGTATTTGTTGTTCTTATCTTGTTTTACTGTCCTATTGGACTTCACACTGTGAACCTTTTGTTCTCGCTCTTTGTTGACTCTGACACTAGTATTCAGAAGTTAGCAGGGATAATATATATGGAGCTGAGGGGGATCAAATGATGTGGAAAATCAGAATTCTTAGAGATAGATATACATGAGTATTTGTGTCAAATCAGATGGCACCCTGCTGATAACTGTTGGCTAATGTTTCCATGGGCAGACACTGGTGGATAGGCTGCAGCAGCCCCCATGACCTATGTGTGGTTCCACAAGATAAGGCACTTAAGGAAATACGAGTTTCCTTTTCTCCTTAGCTTAGATGCACTACTGCTTTCACATGACATCATCTTTGCTCGCACATTATCTTTTTGTATCTTAGAAAACTGTTGGTCTCTCACACCCCTTTGTCTGTAAGCAGGTAAAGCTGGTGCAGTGAGCAGAAGTGATGAGAGGAAGGTGACACAGCTTTAACCTCTGAAGGCATTTTGTGAGAATATAGTCCGAAAGGAAAAGAGGACTACAGTCAGATTTAACCAGTTTAGACATGTTTCTTATTCTATAAAATAGCAATTTAATATTTTTAGTGAGCAGCACGATCTGCACAGATCCTTTCAAGTCTCGGCCTACAGCACGCCGTGCAGGACAGTAGCCTGTAAATCTGACCTCAGGACACCACCGTGCCATCAGGGTCAAACTTCATTTTGCCTGTGCTAAATAACATTATTTTAGCTTTCTGGTTACCCTAGTCCTAAACTCAAGCCACAAACAACTAATCAATCAGCCAAGCAACAGAATAGTAATCTACAGCTTTTTAAAATATACTTTAAAACTGAAACTTAAATTGACAAGGACACATGCATGATAGGCTCAAGATCACACTCAGGCAGCATGCATTTAAAAATGGTTTTCATTTCACAGGACTAAAATTGGATCTTTTCACATGATCTGCCTGCTCCCTTGTTGAACATTTAATACAAATTATTTGCTTGTGTGTTTCAACACAACGTTTGAAAATCTTGCTTAAAGCTGTTTTGAATGGTCAGGCTTTCAGCAGTGAATGACGTCCTGTGTTAGGGACTAGTTTCCTTATTTTATTAGATAAAACCAAGCGGAAAAACAAATCAACATATACTGTAAGCTAAAAAGAGCTGCACAGGTGAAGAGCTTGTACTTACTACCAGAAACGTCATCTTATTTATTTTATGTAAGAAGTTTTGATCAATTCCATGTGAAAGCTGTGAATATCACTAGATAGAGGACTTTATTATGACACTGGACTCAACAGTGAAACTACTGTTTTAAAACCAAAGAGAAATCATCAAGCCCACCTTTTTCACAGAATAAGAATGTCAGTGTTTATCTGACTCCCTCCCTTGAAAGAATGTGAAGATTTTAAAGCAAGAGATGCCCAACTGTTAAACCTTATCCTTGTCTGAACCATGGTCCATACGCCTCATGGTGCCCAGATGTTTGACACCACAGCACAGGGGGAATGTATGCTGCTGAATAAGGCCCTCACTGTGTTCAGTTTGTTTCTATGAAGGAAGAGTTCTCAGTGTGACTGCACATCCTCCAGTGTAACTGACTCAGGTGATAAGCCAAAATACGGCACATTTTTTTTTGGGTGTGCGTCATCAAAGCAGTGTATCTTAACTGCTATGGTCTGGCTCCGCAAATAGCTGTGGACCATCACAACAAAAGGCTGTGAACAACTCATTTTTACAACTGACAATTTTGCTCTGGCTCTGAATTCCTCATCACATCAAAGCAGACAGCTTCCGCTGGCCTGTCATCTGGATTCAGAGCAGATAGCACAAGCCAGTCTGTGGTCCTTGGTTAACCAGACATTCACCCAGCAATGTTCTTCTCCTTTTTTCTCCTCGCTTCAGCAGTGCTAGCGCGGGTAATGGGTGAATCAAAGTCACAGCTATCTGAATGAATGTGCGGGTTTCATTTTCAGGAACTGGTAGTGATGGGGGCACCGGGGTCATACTACTGGACTGGAACAATCAAGGTGTACAACTTGACTTCTGACTCTTTCTACAGCCCTAACAAAGAAGATGTCGACTCCCACAGATACAGCTACCTTGGTGAGAGCCTGTTAATGAGACTAACTGTGCTGAATGTCAAATATGTTCATACAAGTGGAGCTGAAACCGATTGTTGTCTGTGTCTGCAGGCTATGCTGTGACCGCTGGGCGCTTCTCCTCTCCTAATGTAATTGATATAGCTGCAGGGGCACCTCAGCATGGCGGCAGCGGAAAAGTAGGGACTTCATCTTTTGTATTTCTTGTGGTTGTCTTTCCTCGTTCGTTGCTTGCTACAGTGATTATGTTTTTCTCCTGCACAGGTATACATTTTCAAAATTGATGGTGTGTCTTTGGTGAAGAGTTTTCAGGCCTCAGGGAAAATGGTATGGTGGTCCTATATTCTTCCAAAGGCCTCTTACAGTCCTGTTTTTAATCATTATACAGCACATATTTTGCTTTGAGTTGATTGTTATACTATACTCTCAGGGACAGGAACAGTACAACAGCAGTATTATTTAGTCTAATCTGCCTTAGGCATGATGCAGTTGATTTTTGCAATACACTGTACACATGCTTTGTTGTCCGAACTGCTCTGTTTATGTGCGAGTTAAATTTTGAATGGCAACAGTGATTTAAAGAAGGAACACATTTGCCAGAAGCTATAGTCTGGAAAGTAGCTAATGCTTTCCATTCAGAGTAAATACAAGGAAGTCAAGGTAGCTTCAGGTCATAAGTTGTGTAAATATTCTTATAATATTGGTATAGTCATAAAAAGGGAAATAAATCCAGTCAAAGTGTATATCAATCATACTGCATGAAGTGAAGAGGTGTCTGTGATCTGACCCATTGCTCTGTGGCTCGGCTTGGTTCCAGATGGGCTCTTACTTTGGCTCCTCATTGTGTGCAGTTGATCTGAACCAGGACGGCCTGTCAGACCTGCTGGTGGGGGCACCCATGCACAGCCAGCTCCGAGATGAAGGCCAGGTGTCTGTGTACCTCAGCAAGGGAAATGTGAGTGGGATCATTGACTCAGTGGAAACACGATGTCTGATTTCTCCTAAAATGTGTTTGTAATCATGTTACTGGCATAAACAGTGGAGCAATGTTTGATTAGGTAGTGAAATTATTTAACCTATAGTACCTTGACAAGAATTGATAGTTCTTGCGGGGTAGTTGGTTATCTGTTCGGATTTAAATTGTCTGGATAAAAACCATCTAAATGCTGCCCGGGCCAAAGAATTTAATGTATTATTTGTCCTGTTGTAGTATACTGTAGGACCTTTCTCTTTTTCTTTTGCCAGCTTTGTTCATAAATTGTTCTCTTGCCCACTGCTGCTCTCAGGGGGTGATGGAGGAAGCCACTGTTTTGACTGGGGACAGTGCTTTCAATGCACACTTTGGGGAATGTATTACGGCAATAGGAGACATAGACGATGATGGTTATCAAGGTCAGTACAAAATAATGCACATTAGAAACTTTATGCTGACTACATACACATACAGTCACCAGCCACTTTATTAGGTACACCTGTACAATTGTATGCAATTCAATGCAACACTTACACCTTAACATCTGTGTTTATGAAGCTCAGAATATTTCAGTTTTGGTGAAATCGTCGTAAATGTATAAATTCAATCACGTTTATTATTGAGGTCATAGTTAAAGGTGGTGTTGTACTGGACTACATTACACTCAGTGTCTCTATATTTTTGTCCTCCCCAGCTACATACATGAGAGGAACAGAATATTGACTGTATACATGTTTTTATATGGTGACAGAGCAGGAGTGACTGAATTACAGGACCACACTGGGGACATGTTTTCATTAGTGATGTCCACCTTCCTAGCCACTGGTGAGAGGTTAGAACAAAGGTGGGGGTTGTGTTGTAAAGTGTAAAGTATTGTAAATGCTCTCATTTGGTCTATAACACTATAATCGTAGCCATGAGAACCACTTTGTAACAGTACTCAATGCCATTAGTGTGACATTGTCCTGCTGTCATGCAGCAAAGCCATTTCCTTGTTAGTAAAGTTTCATTCTTCACACCAACCCTCAAGCAAATGTTGGCTGCTTGAGCTGCTCAGTAGGTGCAACAAACTCCATCATTTCAGACATTTTGTTTTGATTATCCTGTGGCGAGAGGGATCTTTAGAAAATATCGCCCTCTATCACACTTCTGCACACACATTTATCCAGACGCAAATTTTATACACACAAAGACACACACACTAATGCGGTTTGTTTTCTTCTCATGCACTTGGCTCAGCTTTGACGGCTCAATTTGGCATCTGTCTCACACTTGAGGCTGGAAGCTCCTACCCAGTTTCATCTCTGTGTGTGATATGCCTCGAGGCTTGCAGCTTGGCACAGTGTGTGTGTGTGTGTGTGTGTGGAGAAAGATAGCAGTGGGATGTGTAACTTATCATGTAAGTCAGTAACTTATCATGTAACACTCAGTGTGTTGAAAGAACTGCTCGACTGGCAATATTATTTACAACTTAACTGCTACTGTTTAATTTGAAACAACTACCATGGAAATGCACATTTGGTTTCACTAAGAACACGTATAATTCTACCTCTGTATATCGAGTTCATCAATGTTTAATAGTTACTAAAAAGAGTGCTGTTCTTTTACCATTTCTGTGTTGGTATGCTGCACCACATGGAAGTGTTTTGGGTTATAAATAGAAAGTTTATGTGCAGATCTTGCAGGGAAATGGGATAAGGAGATGTGTCACTGCTCTTGCCAGAACTTTATGATTTTCTTTCCACTCTCTGAGGTCGCACAAGTTTTTATGTCCACTAACAATGCTTAATTGTCTGTTAAGAGTGTTATTGTAACAGCTTGTTTCCCAGGCTCTGGCCAGCTGAAAGTAAACACAGAGTTAATAAAAACGTTTGGACACATTCACAAACACACAGTCATTTACCTATTCATGTATTTCTGTACTGACTTTTCACAGAAACACTTGTCTTTACTTGTCTCCTCAGATGTAGCCATAGGAGCCCCTAAAGAGGACGACTATGGAGGAGCTGTTTATATCTACCACGGGGACGCCACAGGAATCATCAGTAAATACTCAATGGTAAGATCTCTTCCTAATGTCAGACAGCACATCAATGCTTTGCACAATTTTGGTGCAAGGCATTGACATCTTGTCTGTTCAAAAATGTGCCTAGTAGTACTTGTACACATTGTATCTCTTTGGTTTAATCTACACAGAAGCTGCAAAAATGGCATGAATTCATTTTACAAGACTTAGAATAATATACTGGAACTATTTTTTGAAGTTAATTTAAATATGAAAAAAATAAATAAAATGAAACAACACACTTCAGTCGAAAGAAACTTAGATCTTTCACCTATAAAGCAAAAACACTACACATTGGTTTCTGTTTTTCTTCACTTTGGCTCATGCGTTGTTTGTGCTGGTATCATCTGTTACAGAAACTGTCTGGGCGCAGTGTAAACCCTGGTCTGCAGATGTTTGGACAGTCAATCTCTGGCATTGTGGATATGGATGGCAATGGATACGCAGGTATGGAAAAAACATTAAATATAAAATGATTTGGGTTTTCACCCTCAAGCTTTTAGGACCTTATTTTTCTTCAGTAGCAGTGTGTCAGACTTGTGATAGAGGCGCCTTGTTTACGCTATTCCACCGCACACATTCAGACTCTACCAGCGTGACAGTTAAAGACCTCTCTGCATTGTTTTGGATTGGCAGTTGTAAAGAGTGTTCTCAGCAGACGTTTCATTAACACCATGCCTTCTTTAAGGCTAGTCATTTGCATTATGTTTTCATTGCAGATGTCTCCATTGGAGCTTTTATGGCAGATAGCGTTGTGCTGCTAAGGTGAGTATGGGATCATTCTGTTACACTGCCGTATTTTGTTTCTACTTCTGAGTCATTTTAATGTTCAGTTTCTCCCACACTCTGTTGGATGATGTGGTTGTAGGTCACGACCTGTTATTACAGTGGATGTCTCCATCTTCCTGCCCGTCTCCATCAACATCTCTGTGCCACAGTGCCATGAAGGCCCCCAGAACCTAAACTGTTTCAATGTCACTGTGTGCATGCGCTTCAAGGGACGACAGGTGCCTGGACAGATAGGTGAGGACGAATCCTCCTTACTAAGAATTATTCAGGAAGCGTGATACAAATGTCATGTTAACATAAAACTAAAGGAAACAGCCATCTTGGCTCTCTCCAACACAGCAAAACCTGAAAACATAAAGAAACTTATCTCATTTAAAATGTATGTTTATATTTAGGCCCTCAATTTCTTAAGTTGTCATCACTGTAAATTCTGAAAGCAAATATCAGAAACCAGAAATCTCAGCAGGCCTTTGTCATTGCTATACTCTATCAAGCCCATGTAGATATATTATGGCCATTTATTGTGACAAAGTTAAATTCGTACTCCTTGAACTTTTAGTGGTCATTTAACTGTGGAATATATGTAAACACAATCAAGCAGAGAAATTCTCCTTGTGCTCAGAGGCGGTCAGTGTGGTTGGCCTTTGGCCTGTGGCTGACTGTCAGTGCATTTGCTTACCACTTTACTCTTCAGGCTTTGCTAACCGGCTCTTGGGTGCGGTGCCTGTGGATTGCTGAGGTGCAGCCCTGATCCAGTGTTACAGTGTGGTCATTCACAGCCCCCCAGGGAAGCAGGAGCCCTGTCGTTCTCTAATGAATATGTCCTGGCAGGCAGGAATAATGCCTCTCTGTTTAGCCGTCTGGCAAACACCATGGAAAGTGCAGCACCATGTATTTGGCGACTCCCATAATGAAACCTTCCTTTTCCTCTGTTAGATGGAGGAAACAGTAGGCTTTGGTCTGAACAGGGTGTGTTTACCACCCCTCCCACTGTTTCACCAGTATGACGCCCTCTTGAAGCAATTACTACAGACTGAGGCTGATTCATTCAGAGGAACGGATTTTAAATGACCAGAGGCCCTTATATGGTTTTCTCAGAATCAAGTGTCTCGACATCAGTAAAGCCAGGGGTGGAACCAGCAAGGAATGATGTTATTGAAATGTTTACTTTCACAGCAGCTGGAAAATTAATTTTCTTTTTTTGTTAATCCTTGTCCGCTCATCTTGAACAGAAATACGAGCTCAGTTTTTCAATAGTTATTGCACCCTTAATAAATGTATGGCTTTTTTCAACTTTTTTCTGACTCCTGGATGAAAGACTGTGCAAAATTCAGTTAGTTCCTCACAGTAGCAAACCTGTGAGTAAATTGCTGAAGTCTCGGTTTAGTTCTGTTTTCATTAAACGACGCACTGTAGAACAACTGCTCTTGTTAAGTTAATGTCAGATGATTTGACTAAGAAATGTGAAACATGTTCCCATCTTACCTCTGACTCACATTAATTTGACTGCAATAAGCAATAATTTATTTTATGCCATGTTTTGATGGTGCTTAACAGAAAACCAAACCCTCAAGGAACCACTGCTGCCAGTTGACATTATGTGTTTCTGTCTTTTTGCAGAGCTGCTGTATAACCTGACAGCTGATGTGGATAAGCGACAGAAGAGCCAAACTTCCCGGGTTTACTTCACTTTGAGCGGATCTCAGATCAGTCAGATGAGCCAACAGCTCAATCTGGACATTAAAACTGAGGAGTGTCAGCACTACACTGCTTATGTTAAGGTACGTTTTAGATTTCTGGTCTTACTGCTGGTGGCGCTTGTGTTGGGTTGTCCTCAGCTGACGTCTCTGTTGCTTTCCCATGAACCTGAGTACTCTCACCCTGCAGTGTTGATTTGTGATATGAATTATTTATGCAGTTTTTGTTTGGAGCATCAAAGTCCATATGTTTTCAGTTAAAATGTTTGGACAGTTGGTAACAAGAGGAAATTAAAATGTCACCAATATAAGGAAGGATCATCACATATTTCATAGTGGTTTAAGGGCATCAGTCGCTAGAGATGGCTGTTGTCACTGAAGGCTCCGATTCAGCCGGCATCTGCTATGTGCCAGCTATGTGTGTGACCATGCTGGGTCAGGTTAAAGGTAACCGCCGGGTGCTTGATGGTTCATAAAACCATGTCGCTCAAGTGTGCGTCTGCAGAAACAGACAGAAACGGGAAACACAGTCTCCTTTGTCATTACATAGTCCCTCTTTTGTGTTTCTCTGTGATTCAGTCATGTAGCCACACACAGGGTCCTCGTCCTGAGGGCACCATCTATGTTTCACCTGCTCTAATACAGAGGGCCACTGCAGGCCTGTAAATTTCACTGGTATCCTTACTGATGCACTCCAGGCTCTTTCAATATGGGAGGCTCAGCTGCCAGCTGTGAGGGCTGTCATTACTGCACTTACCTCTCTTTCTTCAACCGTTCAGACTATAATGAATGTACATCACCCAGAGCAGCTGTAGCAATAAGCTCCCTTATTCATCACAGCACACACACATCACTGTTATCAAGGTTTATTCAGCGAAGTCTGGCGTGTGTTTATTGAGGCTCTCCAATAAATCTGGATAGTTTCGCTCATGCACGTTTCAAATTTAATTTTCACTTCTGTCTGTCTAAGGTTCAACACACAACATTGACAGGAGGATAAGTCATGTAAAGAAGTGTTTCAGCCCGGCGTAAATCTGGAATTTCAACACTTTAAACTTTAAACATCTTTAAGCTTGTGGGTGGGTGAGTGAATTATCACTCAGTCTTCTCTCATAGCTGCCACATACAGTATATGTGGCCTCTCTCGAGCTGTGAGGTAAAAACACTTGAATGCTTTAAGTGCCATTCATCAGGTCAGATGTTAACTTAAACGACAAGCTGTATTTTGCAGCTCTGCTGATTAGTTGAGACACTAATGTTGCTGAATTTAAATTTTGATATCGTTAAAGGAAAAGCTCCTTTTTTGGACATTTTGGGAAACACTTTGGACTAATATACTTGTTTCCTTTCATGCTTGGGTTTGGTGACAAAATTGATGACAATCTTTTGTTTCTCTGTTCATAATGTGGCTGGAACCAGGACATAGTTGCCTTTGCTTAGCATGATGACTAGAAACAGAGGTAACCTGTCTCTGTCCAGAGTTTACTAATTAACACATTACATCTAATTTGCATAGAAATGTACATGTTGCAGTTTTATGGCTGGTTATGTGTCGGACTATTTATTTGCCAGTCGTCGTCATTTCCTGGAGTCTGCACCTTGTTGTTATTACATTTCAGTTTTGTACAGATTAAACAAACACACTATAAAGTGTTAATTAATGAGCTTTATGGTAGTTGGCAGGTGGATTTTGTTACTTCTGGACACAGCCAGGCTAGCTATTTCCTTCTGTTTCTAGTCCTTATGCTAAGATAGGCTAAGTCCTGGCTGTAGCTTTATATTGAACAGACAGACAGGGTGGCATCAATCTTCTCATTTGATTTTTTGCAAGAAGACAAATAAGTATATGTCTTTTAATACTGAAACAATTTTTAATTAACTTAATTTCTGTTTACAGATGATGAGTGTCTTTTGGGGTGACTTCATGCAGACAACATTACATCTTTCTTCTGTAGGTTTATTAGGATTGGCTTAAGTGAGGTGTGAGGTGTTGCATGGTTGCCATTGCAACTGTGGGGATTATTACTTCATCACTACTGTATATGTGGCCACAAATTCCACCTGCTCAGCAGCAAAAAAGCAGAAGTGAGATTGCCAGAGTTAACAAAAGCAGAAAAGCCACACAGGATGGTGAAGGTGTGGTGCCCAAATTACAACTTCACTAAACTGTTTCCATGCTGCATGACCTTAGATGTGTATGAAGAGAAAAGCAGACAAAGATTACGACCTAGCATGATAACTGTTTACCACGGGTCTTTATCATCATACAGTATGTTAGCCTAAACTTGAGAGAAGAGCTGAAGAATTACCATAATCAGAAGAGATCTGACTCTGTTCTGAGGCAGAGTCTAGTGTGCTTGACCATTTGCATCATTTATCTTCCTCATGGGCCTGTCCACATGTGCCAGTCCTCCCATTGCCCAGAAGAGTTTTGTTAATGGAAACCAGCTGGTTGTCCAACTGTATTCTCAAGGGTGGTATGATTGTGAACCCCTGCCTGCCCCACCCTTCTCTCATTTAAAACATACTGTACAGTGAAAACGTAGGTCTGGGGTTATAGTGTCACTGCAGGGTGCTACTACTACAGCAGCATCAACTAGAACTGCACGCTGATGGAAAACCCTTATGTTATGGCCGATCGCTCAAGCCCTGCTGCATGAGGGCCGGTGGAAGCGAGCCATGAGCTATTCTGAGCTCCTCTCGCGTTTGTAACTGCTCTGACCATCTGTTGACCTCGTTTGTTGACTTTATAAATTAAACCATTTTAAAGGACCTCAGCAAAACACAATGATGATAAAGTAGGTTTTGTACTACATAATGTACATGCACTAACAGGACTGGAACAGATATGCTCAAGTTTCACCATGTGAATCAGTAAAAAGCTGGACCAGTCACAAGGGTTGTTCAGAGATCACAGAAGCTAATGGCTTAATCCTAACATGCTTTTCTTGAGTCATTTCTTCTGAAATTATTCAAGTCTTTCATGTTGATCATATTAAACATGTTTTCAATGGCACTGACCAGCAGCATGCCAGCCCTTCAGATGGTCTTTGTTTGGTTATTTTTTGCTAAATACACTCAGTGATGTATTCTGCTTCGGTTGTACCTCACATTTACGGAGTAAAACCACTTAGCACTGATGACTGATGAATGATTAAGGTTCAGATTAACCAGAGTGGCTGAGTGTTATTTGGAAATGAGTCATTTAACAAGCAAATCACCATCTTTTAAGTTGAAACTCTTCGGTTTGATGTGTTGTATAAAGCAGTTTTACACAGCTGGCGTGTTATACCTTTGGAGCTTAGGGTTTCATCATATTTTGCAAGACAGAGCAGTTGTAGTGAAATAGGCTGAAGCTTTGAAGCATTGTTCAGGTGCAACTGGACACCTCAGCAATTACAATTTATTATTTAAAACTTTATTAAAGTGGCATCAAAGACAGAAAATTGGTTACTTACTGATGATATTAAGCTAAAGACACCCACAGGGGTCTTCGGTGTAGTATTTAGACATTTCTGTCATCCAGGTTAAGGATTTCAAACAAATTCAAATTAAAAGCTATCAAACTGCATAAGACCATTTACCATTTAATGCATAACAGTGGAACACAGTGTATTGCATTAACTGTTTTAAGATTTTATGGATTTAATGTGATTTTGCACAAAACACTAAGTACAGCTGATAAAGCTCATGGGAATATTATTAACTTATTTCAGTCTCGATCTGGATTGATGTTACCATCTATGAAGTAATGCCACTAAACATTTACCGATTGATTGGCTTCCTAGTAAACAAGTCTTAAGTATTTCCTTGATAAATGTTCTGCACGTCTTTGTGATTACAGCTCATAGCATGTTTACATCTTCAGCAGTATGTTCTACATGTTTTTACTTCAGCAGCCCATCACAGTGCAGTACACAGGAGTCTTGAAATCATGCCAAGGAGCCTATTCCATTTGTGGTCATGAGCATTGTGTAGTGTTGTAAATGCATTGCAGTCACCAAGGAAGAGCTAAATTAGGCAGTTAAAGCCCTGCCTGTAAAACAGTTGTCTGTTTAATTTAGCTCATAAAGTATTCTTCTCACTTTCCTCTGACCTATATTCCACTGAGTGTGTGCCCTATATCTCATATCTCCCTGACATTTGCTTGGCACCACCGGAATATTTAAAGCTCCATCAAACTTTAATCTAATGGCTGCTGCTGTCACTGGGACATCTACAGGATAAACATCTGTCTGTCAAAGCTAAATGCATTGAGGCCACCTTCAGTCTCATATAACTGAATGGAAAAACTAGACCATACAGACATGCTGAACTTGAGCAATACAGTGAAATAGTTTATCTCACCTGTGTGCTTTCTTGTAAGCATCATAGCTCATTCATATCTCATTTGCCTTAGTTTGATGGAGAGATCCATCATTGAGGCAATATGTTTTAGTTGAGAGTAAAACCTGAAGCACAGATGATCAGCACACCGCAGGTTTACAAATTAGAGAATAACCTGGTATTACTGAAGGTTTGCATTCTGGTGCTTTATCAGGTTCATTGATATACATCTGCTACTTGTATGCAGCTTTATCATATAACATGCTGCTTGTATCCACAAATGACTGAAATCTTAAATTAGAAACTAGCAAAACTCATATGATTCAGTAGTAGGGATGAAACAATTAGTCATCTCATTGATAGGTTGTTAATCTGCAACAATTTCATAAATTTAGTAATCATTTAAGTTGTTTTTTAAGCAAAAATGTAAAAATAAAAAAAGCAAAAGTTGTTTTCTGCAGTGAATAGGTTTCTCTAAACAAAGACAAACAAACATGAAAAGTCATTTGCTTGACTTGTTTGACCCAAGTCTGTCTTCCGCAGACAAACAGGAAACCAAAGCAAAAGTTCCTGCCGCTATGTCCCAGAGAGGCTCCAGTAAGACAGAGTCCCACAGCCTCAGCACTGTGTGGCACGTGGGAGCCTGGAGCCAGGCCACTGCCACACTATTGGCTTTGTTTGCCTCTCCACAGTTCTACAGAAATGTGCAATTCCCTTGATGCTATTCCCTTGGTTTTATTTACAACAGGCCATGAGAG